GTTACAAAGAAAGAGGAGTCAACATATCTTCCCCGTGCTTCTTTCCAAACAGTATCATCACTGGGTATCTCGGCATATATAGGACACAAGTATCTATTTCACTGAAGAGGACGAAACTGTGGAAGTCTCCACCATCATTTTAAAAGAAGATTAATTTTTCAGATGAAAACTCTTCAGTTTCTTTTGGATAGGGAGTTTTTTCCTATCCATCTAGAAAGCCCACTTTTCATTTGGAATGCAATTTCTTAATTAGTTCATGCACATCACTAAAATGATCCAACCTTTCAGCAAAAAGGTAATCAGAAATAACTAAAAGTTCCTTACCAGCACCCAGACAAGGAACCAACAGAGAAAGGGCTCAATCTCAGGTAGAGAAATAACATAATATTCTTATTGCTGAAATGCTTTATCGTGGAAATAGTGAAGTGGAATGCCTAAGGGGAGAATCTCTGTTTGAGGAAGAGGGAAATGTATTAAACTGTGTTCAAAGACATGTAGTCTCTTATGAATTTCAAAGATGATCGCTGAGCCAGAAGACTGCTGGTTCGAGTTCCACCAGCGCAGACTGCTGGCACCACTTCATGTGCCTACCCCGAGTGTGGGGGATCTCTCTACGGCTGCTTTGCTCTCAGCTGTACTTTTCATGACACCTCTTGTGCGTTCAAGAATAAATGCAAGCCAGCGTGGTACTTTTTAAAAACGAAGGTCTGACTAAACTAGGGATTTTTATGTTCAAATGTCCGCATCAGTTCACTTACCAGCTGTCTTAGTGAGAATTCACTGATAAAATGCCCTAATGGAGAAGTATCAAAGAGGGTAAGCCTGTTAACGTAGCCAATCTACTTGCCTCTGCTTCACACATTAATGCGAATAGAAATCCGGAGTGCGTACTCTCAGTCACTACTCATTTGGCCGCTAGGGGCATAAAATAGTTTAAGATGCTGGAAAGACATATTATAAAGCTCACACTACTCTTCCAAAGGTACCTAACCCTAACATGAATGAAGAACAAGGACTTAGGCAGACTTTAGGTTCTTGAATTTCTCCTTACACAGCTTAAAACCACACAAATTTTCTAATTTTTATGACTTTAGCATCAATAGGTAAGACTCAGGTAGTAACACAGTACTTAGGACTGCATCATCTAAGCACCATACCATCTTCAATTTGCTTATAACCACAACATACTAGTAAGCTAGAGCAGCATTATTTTTTCATTTTGCTGGTAGAGAACCAACCCTTGAAATTTAAGCACCTACCCTGATACATAAAACATGTATGAAAAAAACAGAAAGCTACACTCAGAATTCCCAGGTCCAAGGGAAGTAACCACTAGATAATCACTCCTCTGACAACATGGAAACAATAAACCATGAATCGCCAAACAACATAAACCACCAACAACAACAAATTCAAAAGTTTGACTTTGGCTTTGTCTCTTTTTCACTCTTGAGTTAGAGCATGGAAGTAGGAAAAAAAACATATAATTTGCAGATTTTTAAAGGTGGCCTTCAAAAACAGTCCACTAAATATGCGATACAAAATGCTGAGGAACAGTGAAATGAGGCTGATATATATGGAACAGAGATACAACACACGAGATTTTAATTAAAAGAGGGTAAAATGGGGAGTGGTGTGTGGGAAGCAGGGCACCCACCGCCAAATACGCCAACACACAAGTTGCAGTCTTGCCTAAAATTTAGAAATTATAGATGCCTGCACAACTGCTTCTCTGGAAAGACAATATGGACCATAACAAACACAAGTGTGTTAGCATGTAGCTAGAACACAACAGAAAGTAGAAAGAGCTTAAGACAGTACAAACTAGGCAATCATGATGTTGTACATAAAGCCTGGACACTGTTAAAAACATAAATAGTAATTACTGGGATACATTACTTATATTACTCCTTTATCGGGACCTAAAGAAAATAACTCCCTGTCTTTGGCAGAATCTTGAAAACCCTGAACTATCCAAGCCATCAACGTCACACTTTTAGTCAGTGTTGTCTATTGTCCCCTGGTTCCGTGCTGCTCTACATCTGTCCTAGTCACTTTGTTTTACAGATCACATTGCATTTATCAAGCTGTCATATGAAATAAAACAATAACAGAAAAGACTACCAGCCATTTCATTTGTCTGCAAAGCTATTTACAGGTATTTGGTATTAGGTTTCCTGCTTTATGAAATGAATGAATGAAAATCTCAAAGCTAGTGCACTGTATACATCCAGCAGTGTCTAAGGAATAGAGTTCACTAAATTATGAATTATGAGTACTCTATAGCATCTGTATACTGAAAAAGACTGTCTTAGAAAATTAGAATTAAAAAAAGGAGTCACTGAAATGGTTCTTCAAGAAAATAGCTATAATTGTTCCAGGTAATATATGTGCAGTGAAAGAAATATATTATTAATATAAATAAGGTAAATAAGTACCATAGACCCAAATAATATTAAACAAAAAAGGAAAATTAATTATTCAGTATTTTTCCTTCTGATTTTCATTGGTGTGCACTATAAAACAGTGTAACAATATTCAGGTTCATGTTATTCAAGATGTTAACCCTTGTATTTAAAGGCATTTGATTTTCCTTGAAATCATCCAAGAAAAGCTGTCAATAAGCCTTTCATTTATGTGAAGTAACAGACATCAGAAAACGGCATGTCAACATTAATGCAGACATTCTAGTGAATAGAAGGCTTCCTTTTACATTACATAAACCAATTAAACCTGATATACTTTCAGTCTATTGAATTCCCTCACTCCCAACTTTCTTTGTTTTAAGGAAAGTCTCCTCTAGTAATCTATCTGGAAGTAATCAGGGGAAACTGACAGCAATATAGGATATAACATAGATGCATAGTATGAATGAGATTCTCTTCTAAAAGAACTTGCATTAAAAAAAAACATCCTTTCAAAAAAGGGCAAAGCATTAGAAAAAATTGAAGTGTCTGATTCAGCCAGCAGGAGAGACGTAGAAGCAATATGGAACAGCTTATGCTAATTAAAATTTACTCTTCGTTGCCAGCAAGAAAGAATTCTCAATTTCTAAGTCAACTTTGGCACAAAGCTAAAGCAGCAGCTGGCATATCTTTAAAGACAGAGGATGCTTCATTAGTATTCTCTTAATCGAGTTTTTCTGAACTTATAAACACACGTTGGTCTCACTTTTATTTGTCTGTTTTGGAGCGTTTTGCTCTAAAATGACCAGAAACTCTATACTGTATCCTCCTACAAGCCTTTCTCCATAAAAGAAAAAGATGCACAGTGGCAGGTACTTGCAGATTGCGAAGTAGCACACTCTAAACTGTTACGAGCAGGAGCTCTTTTGCGGTGTGTATTGGTAAGGCAGTTTGCCTAGCAGGACCCAATTCTGATGTAAAAAAAAAAAAAAACTCATCACAAGTAGCAGGGAAGATTGTTTTATAATCCTTGCTACCTATGACTTCAGTGTGGAACCCAAGAAGCAATTCAATCAGAGACTATGGCTATCAGGAAGTGCCTTTCCAGCTCTTTTGCTTGCTCACTATCGGACAACTTTAGCCCATCATTTGCTAGGGGGCATTTTGGCACCTGGAGTCATGTATCCGGGAAGTGGCCACACTGCTAGACAAGTGTGAGAACCTGATGTAGTGTGATCCAGATACTTCTGTCACTGAACACCAGTTGTTTGGGAACCAGTGGTGTGACATGCTTAGAAAAAGAACGTCAGTACTGTCCAAGGTCCCTACGCCTTGCAGTTCCTTCCCAATTATGCCTCCTAAATATCAGTAATTCAGATACGATTTCCACATCATTCCTTTGTCTCAGAAGGATTGTCTGGGTGCCTGAAGTACCTCATACATTTCTATGTTGGTTTGTAAGTCTTGTAAGGCTTTTTTCAGGTTCCTAAATTCTTCTTTAACTGCTCAGGCCCATGCATTTTCAGCTCCAAATCTACAGTTAGAGTGGAAAAGTATCACTTAACAGACAGAAGGGCACAATAACAAAAAAAGTCTCTCATTTTCCATTTTGCTAAGTGCCTGATTACATGTTTTCAGGCAAACCAGATAAGCAAAGATTCACTTGACTCATCTGCTGAGCACAAACATTATCCAACTTTGCCTTTACATTGCACCGTATAATCCTAGGATCTCAAAGCCAAGTACCAGTACAAAATAACACAGTGTCTCCCTGAAGGAAACCAACTTCGGTGGAAAACTACCTAGTGTCACAAGGAAATCTGTAGCCATTTTGAGTTATAAAACTATACTGGGTAATTCATTGCAGATTAGAGCACTGAGTACAATCCAGCAGTCAGAGGAAGAATCAGAAATCCCCAAAGATTTAAAAAATTAACTACTAGAGGCAAAGATTAATATCAGTAATTTACAAATTATCTTTTAAAAGCATTAAAACCCAACAGCAAACCAAGTTAATTTCCCTCCCAAACTTTCTTCATTCTCTCTCTTTCCCCTTAACTTGCTTTCTCTCTTTTTTATAATGGTTTCTTGAGGTTCTGATCACAGTATCATTGTGGTATCAGTCTACGAGAAGCATAATCCTGGTGATACTCCTTTTAAAGGATAATTTAATTAATGTATTAAATAGTAGAAGAAAATTAATTTCCTCTGACTTTGTCCTCTTTTGAATACTTAAACCTAAGCAATTATATCTGAAAAAAATTGAATCTATCAACTCTGAAACCTCAGATTTCATCAATTAGATACTTTTCCAGTGCCTATAAAAGAAAAATCAGCCCTTTTAAAAATCCAGTCATTGGGGAAAAGTCATTTGTTCATATTGAAATGTGCAAATGTCTCTTCCCACCTGTAGTACCAGGCACTTTCAATGAAGGGGGGGGGGGGAAGGAAAAAAGGTGATTCCCAGAGGTAGTTCGCATTTCTAAAGGTGAAGAAAAAAAAAACAACCCTAAAAGATTGCATTAAGTTAGTTTCAACCAAATGTTGATAAGCCTGGGAAAGTGAGAGGCTTCAGAAAGAAGATGGCATACTTACTGCTTGAGGCAGACAATTCTTTTGGACTGGAGGACATTGGCTGAGCACACATCTGACAGAGACAGTCCCTTCCATTAAAGGTAACTCGATCGCCTGGTGGAAATGGACGCCTGTAGAGTTAAAGAGAAAAATGTATTGTAGCAAAGGTTATGCCAGAAATTTTCCTCTGTTCCCTGTGCCTTGAGTTTGCTGCCTTCCCGCAATGCAATCAATATTTTACAGAAACTCAGGCCAAATAGTTTCTGCAATGTGGCCTTGGCAAAGCCAGGCACTGGAAGAAATCCAATCTGTGGATGCAAGCAGAGCAGAGGTTAGACTCGCCTTGTATTTTGGTTTTAAAAAGTTATCAAACATACTTTATCTAAAGAGCAGACGACAGTGAAATCCGCTTAGACACAACAGCTACATTTATGATGGTCTCAGCGTGATGTTGTAGATAGCAAATGGTACAGAAGAGAACTCAAAGAATTGGAATTGATCTTGAGGCTAGTGAAGGAATGTGGAGCTAGTCACTCATAAATACACTAATTTCATCTGTATTCAGCAATGAAATATATGACTATATTACAGTGGATGTAGCAGTTTGCAAAAAAATGAAGTGTTATCCACATTCATTCTCCTGGATTTAAAATAGGTATCTACATTACAGAACCACCACTGTAATTGCTACCTGTGCAGATGGTGTTAGGAGAAAGGTAAAGGCTGAATGTGCTATGGAAGTTTGAGATTATTTGCTGAACCCAACAAAATGTTAAGAATGTGTGTTAGGCAGAAGTTGAGATTGCTGTTAACTCTTATTTGGTGTATAAAACAGAGGATGAACAGCATTTTGTATGAGCATTTCACTAAAATGAGAAGGTTTGGTAACTCCAAATCTTTAGTAAGCTTTAGCTGCTGAGTACAGACCCCCCTACACAACACCTCACTCCAAAACTGTGCTTAACAAATGAACATCTGCTTGTTTCCACAAAACAAAATGTTTAAGGCATTGTTCTAGTTTTCTTTCCACTGCCATTCCTAAGTCGGCCATAAATAAAGCAGCAGCAATACTGCATTTCATGAATCTATTCCAATAACTTATCTTTTGTTCGTTCAACATAAAAAGATCGATGCAAGTCAGTGTACAGAAAATTGATGTCATGTTTCGTACTGTATCACCTACTTTCACGCTGTCCTTGGGAAATAAAACTGAAACATACACATCATATGATTACCAACATGCAGTAAATTCACACACTATTTAAAACCAAACGGAAAAAAGATCAAAATACTTTCAATAGAAAAGGCCTTCAAAAATGTGCCAGGCTATAGGACAATATACTTAAACTACTCATCAGAGATAGCTATGAAAGATTAGGGTGGCACCTGGCAAGTCTGCCACACTAATACTCAGACGCATCATATGATGGGATCTCCAACAAGGTACTATCTCAGAACGTAGATTCTTGCCCTTCTTGTTCACGTCATCCTCCTGCATTAAGTTTGACAATTCAAGTGCTGTCAGATTCTGACTTCTGGAGAACTCCACTGTATTATTTCCCTCCAAGACTCCAAAGGAACAGGCCCTGTCTTTTGGGTCCTCCCTCTATGAAATCTACCTACATCTCTATCTGATGCTTCTTATGTGTCCCTCAGGCATGACACTGAAACTTATTTAAGAAAGCTTCCGTTTTACTCGCAGGGCTCAGAACTGCAGAAATGAACAACCTGATGGCCGTCTTCATTCCAGCTTAGTAAATAGTAAGTATACGCATAACACAGTTGTCTCTCTGTAGAATCATGATGGCACCATAATATCACTTTACTTCCACTTTATGTCTAGAAGATTACTTTCACTATTATAAAAATGTGCCACTCCTATAAAAACTTACAGAAGCTTTATGTCCCCTAGTGTATCCAAAATATTATACTGATCACCATAGCAATAAGGTACATGCTAAGACAGCCTAAATTCTAGTGTAGTCTCAGTGCCTACAGCCAGCTAATAGAGAACACTATGCACAGGGACTTTGGGTTAAGTTTAGGCTGTAAAGCTTAGCTGAGATTTTCAAGTATAGAACTGCTCAAATGAGCAGGCTATGAGAGCACGTGGAAGATTTGCCCAGTAGTCTCCTAAATTCTGAATTAATATCTCACTGAGAATTTAAACAAAAATACAAGTTAAAAATGCCACCTTTTGTCCCATCCACACAGCCTTAGCTAACTTCTTTTTATTCCCTGTAGAATTGAAGACTGGTTCTCTTACTGGGGACAAGAAATTGTATTTGGGAAGAAGAGGGGGATCACAATTGTCCCAAAGCCATGCATTCTTACATGACATGAAAATGAGTCTTCTGTATGTTTTCAATTGTTTAACTGTTCTTATAGCCCAAATGACTTCTCTATTGTAGCATCCAGAATTTTGCTTTACCTCATTTCTCCCATCAAGCTGGGCTGATCACCTGAATTCAACTCAACCCATATCCATTACCTTAACGTGTAAGCCTGATACTTAATTCTTTCAAATGTGAGAGTAACTTTCTGAGAACAGGGAACTATACGTAACAGAGAAGCTGTGTCCCCCAAATAAATGAGTGGTATTTTGAAGACCCTCAAAGTCAGACTTGTAGCAGATCTTTTCCAAACAAATGCTTCCCAAAGGGAAATACGTCTTGAGACTTGTGTCTCATGGTGATACCTTTCTCCCTGTTGTCCTCATACTGGGTTCACGCCATGTTAGTTGAAAATGGATGACTTACTTGCAAACAGTACAGGCAAAGCAGCTTGGATGGTAAGTTTTTCCCAGAGCTGTCACTACTTCGCCTTCCACGAACTCCCCACAACCATTGCAGCGGGTACCATACATGCGCTGGTAATCCAAGGTGCAAAGATATTCCCCGTTCTTAATGAAAAAGCCGCCTTGTGCCAAGTCACAGCCACACACTGGAAGAAAAAAAACCACACAGATAGATTGGAAAAATATACCTACTAAGGATGTCAGCAACAGTCTGCTGCTGACAAATGAGATGACCCTGGCGGTCTCGCTCCCTTCTATCAGATTTTTGCTTTCTCCTCCTGTCACTACATGCCTTGACATCCCAGGAGATGGTTGGTATTCTCTGGCTACAAAAGAGCTTGTAATAAAAACTTTCCTTGGAGGAATCTACATAATCATAACTTTCACGTACTTGGTCCTTGCCAAGACCTCAGTTACCTCGTATCATCCAGTTAATCATGTTATCAGAGTTGTTTGTACCAATGCAATCTTGCTTTCACTTCTGGGACTGGAGGTGAGCAGAAGATATGAGTCCCTAAATAGGACAGATTTTACTATATTATACACTAGCATACATTTTTCCTGCAACCATGTGCTTTAAGAAGCTTTCAAGGTACTGATTCTTTTTGAAACAATATTTTAGAAACGTATGGTTTAGATTAACTCCTCCAGTCCCCAGGTAACACTGAGCTGCTTCACCATCGCTGCATCAATACTCTTCGTTTTGCTTTAAAAAGTATGATCTTTGAAATGTTCAGGGTGATTTTACAGTATTAATTTAGACATAAATACTGGGAGAAAGCTGCAGTGAAGAGACAATCAAGCATTAAAAATCTAGCCACATCTCCACTATATACACTTCATGATACATGCAACCAAACTATGCAACAGCATATTGGACACTGAATAAAGCCAATAGGAAGAGTATTCCTCACCTGTATTCTGAACAAATTAATGTCCTGAGAACTACTATTACCTTTGAGTGCCTAATCTGCATTGGTCTTGTGTTAGTCTTTTATATACTATACTCCCTGTACTTCATGGATTAGATAAACAACTCTAATATTTGGATATAGACTTGTGGCTATGTACAACTTTACTGGGAAGAATAATTATATCAGTAAAAGGGTGAAGGACCAGTCAAGGATTTCTGTGACTTGGCAGTTTTTCCACTGTTAAATGCTTATTCACCCAAACCAAAATACATCACAACCAGGTGCCTGCTTTGCTTTAAGAAACATTCATAATGCTACATTGGCATTTCTGGTCAACACAGGAGACAGAAAGCAATCCATCCTATAACAGCCAACCCATATGAAGAGAAAGTGCCATGGGAGATGGGAGACTGAATTTCACATTTCGGCTTTAGCTTGAGTTGAACAAAGGACTTGAACCTACCTATTTAACGTCCCACAGTAGCACCAAAAATACTACTTGCTTCATGCGAGCTTTAAAAAGTCCTCTTTATTCACCACAGTGAGAAAGCATAAATAGGAGCTGCTAGATTAATTCTTAAACAAATATATACATGGCTGATCCCAGGCATTTTGGTTTCAGTCACTCCTACTGCTCCTCCGTATATTGCTGTATCTGTGTAATTCAGTAAGAGAAACTACTCTTCACAGCAGTCTAGGATGCTAGCTTAACTCTTACTCTGCAAGCAATTCCATCTCATCCCTCTTCATAACAGTCAAGTACATTCAGATCAAATATCAGAAATATCAAATATCAGAAATTCTGATTATTAAGGAAAAATAAATAAGCAGCATTCTAGGTCCCTGCAGTTAGAGAGTCCTTGAAAAATTAAAATATGAAATACAGAAAGATTACCAGGGGAACTGGGTTCAATTCACCTCTCTACCACAAATTCCTAGCTTGATATTGTGCACAACATTTGTTCTCTCCCCCGTTATAATGGCCTAATATCTTATTAGCTACCTGCCTTGAAAATTAAAATTGCAAGGTGTTTCAGGCAGGGACTGCAAATTCTCTGTTTGCCCATTGCAAAGCCCCAGAGGTCTAATGACTGTTACTGTAACAATAATTAATAGAATAACAATAAACAGAATGCACTAAAATGCAGCTTAGAATTAAAGCACTATCAGTACTAGCATTTTTCTGGTTTCACATTTCTGCATATAACAGTGTTAATATTCCATGTGCAAACAAATTACATTTCATGGTGGCATTAAATCCACAAGCAGCCAAAACTCAATTATCGGTGACTTAGGAGAATTACAGAGAACTATTGTTAAGGCTCTACTATGGAGAGCAAAATGCTCCAAGCTGGTTTTCAGGTACACCTCTAGAAAAAAACCTCTTTCATTCTTCTGTTTTCTTCTACTGATCTCCATTTTGTTTAAAATATTATTTTCAAATAATGGTACAATATCATGTAACCATTATGCAGAAAATACTGTGACCTCTACACCACATCACCTTAGACTCTTCCTGAGTTGGGGACCATCTAGACATTTTCCACTGGAGGTCCAAAGGTGAAACCTAGGCCTACTTACAATAGGTTTGCTTTTTCTAAGTTACCTTTGGTGGATCCTTACAATTAAATCATGGAGTAACTGAGAATTCTACTTTAATGTCTAAAAGTTGTTAGGGATTACTTCAGTATTCAGACTGTCAGATCCTGTGGTTACAGTGTATGAAATGGAGTATTGTCATGGAGTGGTCAATACTAGATGCTTCAGAAGCTGCTAAATTTCATAAAGGGCTATGGAGTACTCGTGTCTATGTGATTACTTAAATTACAATTTGTAATTTAGCTTGTAGCTTTAACATCCAAGTCTATATATAATTTCAGCATGCTGCTGGATCTGCCTCAGAAGCTGCATATATGAACTCTCTGGCTCTTTACTACGCTCCCCAGTTCTGCCAATGAGACACCTTTTGAAAAACTTGTTTAGTCATTATGGCCCTCTTTACCTGCTAAGCAATGGGTCTAATAAGGTAGGATGATCAAAAGTAACTTTCAATGCAACCTCTGTTCTAGCTTCTTCTGAAAATCCAGCTTCAACATATCATACAGAGGTCTGTGGCAGATCATTGCTTGCAAAAAACACTACAAACTTTGAATGAAAGGGTTCATGCACTCACAATTATTAAGCTCTATCCCTTTTGTGTGGCCACAGGGATTCAAGCCTAGCAACAAAAATGGGAGATAAATTATTTGGCAAGTCTTTTAAAGATAGTAATTACTATTATTAAAAAGAAGCTCCCTCTATTGCTCTTTTCTTTATGAAGTCTCGTTTCCACCCAAGCTCTTATTCTTTTTGTCAATAACTCAGAATGAGTTAAATTCTCCCATACTGGCAAGACACAAGCAGAACTGCTTATGATGTGAACCACCAGCAGATTCATCATCTTTGGCATACTCACAGCAGGAAGCACACACCAATCTGCAAGAATTAAAGACAAGTCCTGGCAACCCCACATTACAATGGATTTTTGCAGTCAATTTAGCACATGTGTTCCTATCGCTGATCACAGCTTTAAGCTACATGGGCAAAACAAGGGTCACCCAGACTGTTAACATCCATGGTTGGAAAAATGCTGTTCCAGCCGGCTGCTTTCACTTCAAGTCAGAGATCAAATCAGAAAGGATGAACATGACTGTATCCACACTTGGTGTACAATGCAGCGTACAAAGAAGGAAGGGATTTAAACAGCTTTTTTCTTTTTTCTCCTCCTTTTTGCAGCTGTGCAGAAGTCATGGTTCTGACAACAAATCTCCTCAAGCTTAAACATATTGCCTTAGCACACATATTTATGACCACTGCAGAAATACCACAGAAGAAGGTGCATGAATTGCAATTGTTTTTATTAAAAAGAAAGACCATCTGCCCAGCATCGTTCATGCCACAAACAGCAGAGGCAATGAAGAGAAACCAACCGTGATCATTACATATGTACAATAAATCCTAATACTGTGATCTAGGCAATTGCTATGATACAAATATCATATCATCAAAGAAAAATGAATACCAAAATGATGACAGTTAATAGGAAACATCAAATTATGTTATTTTGGTTTTTCCTATGCTAACGGGAAAAACAACTTCAAAAGAATTAATTAGTGGAGCCAATAGCGATGTACAGATCATGCTTGAGAAGGCAAAAAGCAAGAGGTATTCTGTAAACATCCGTCACATGGAAATAGTTCTACAGGAGAATAACATTTCCCCAAGAACCCTTCGTCCTCAATACGATGGAAGAAATTCTGTTTTACGTGACCAGAACCTCCCTTCTGAAACAGGAGACGCTGGGGAGCATTTCTATTCCCTGAGGTACCACAAGCATAGAGACAAAAAAAAAAAAAAAATCAGCATTTTTCTTTAAATAAAAAAAGAAAACCATTATCTTCCACAGCTCCTGGAGGAACTCAGCCTTTTTCTCAGAGTCTGTATATCAAAGGATTTCATATTCCAAACAGACCATCCTGCCTCTCTTGTGAACGGAATAAGCTGGAATACAGTCCTGCCTCACACTGTATGGAAAACACAGACCTACAAGCTTTTTCTCTCTTGAACTACTCTCTGGAGCTACTATTTTGCATCCTTGGAGCACAAAAAGATTGGAGATACCGTCAGTGCTGCTGTCAGCTCTCAAAGCTACAGGGTCTGTGTATGCAAGCCTGGGCTATTATGACAAAAGGCAGCTGCTCAAGAGCAATCCAATTGGCTGTGATCTCCAAGGGATTTGGATCATTCTTAAGCTGAGTCACTTCCAAGCTTTAACGGATGTGATGAAAATGAAGAGATCAGATTTTTTCAAAGTGAATGGAAGTAGGATTTGATCCTACTGAGCATTATGTAGGATTTCCACAGGGTTATTGTCAGTGAGAGTTGAAAAAACAGGCCCTTAGTAAAATAACTCCATGTTGATGTTAAGTAAAAATTGTTTCAACACTGAAGAAACAAAACCACACAAGCAGACTCTATGAGCATGGGCTCTCAGTTTGCAGAAGTGAATATTATTCATTAAGAAAAGTCTAATGATCTGCTTTGTCACCATGCATTAAATAAGGTGCAAATTCAATTTCCTGTTGGGGTTTTATTTCTTTCTTGTATTTCAAAGCTTCATAGAATAATGGTGCTGTTCTCAAGCTCGAAAATATTCATACAACATTTATTTCTTAGGACATAATGGA